TGATAATTGAAATTTCTTTATCTTTAATTTAGTTGTGGCACTTTGTTTAAAGAGGATTGAGACTCCCATACCATAATAGTCTAAAGTTGCGACTTTCATAAAGCTCCTAATTAGCTTGCCGACAATATTTATGTGGTACCTATGAACATCAACCATAATTAAAAATAATGTGGTATCTACTCGGAGTAAATAATTATTTAAAAAGGAAAATTTATAGTAKGAACGAAAAGAAAAATAATCAACCGAAAGTACATTTTTCCTATGCAACGAAATTGGGTTAAATGTCCAAAYGTGGCATGACCTGCACAATAGAGGTAAACACTCTATACTCAAGTTAGTTTTARCTTGKACTTAATAAGGAGTTCGAGATAGAATGTGATATCTTACGCGAAAGTGAGACCCTTTATTTATAGGAGATTCAACAACAAGCTATCCGACTACAGTCGGGTTATATGTGTCGGTCCGAAGGTCGGACATATTGGGTGCCTAAAGTCGAACCCGAATGATGGCCACACTACTGGTAGGCATCTTTGCAGCRCTTTACGTACGGCCAAGTATGGCAGGTCGAATTTGTCCAAGACACTCAGGTGAAACCTGGTTCTTCTAGATCTTCCTCTATCAATCCACGTGGCAAGGTGATTTTCTATCCTCAATATATATTATAAATTTGAAGTTTATCTCTGCAACGTGAGATCCTTAATATCTCTAACATGTGATGTTTCTAAACTTAAAAGATGACTAACAAATTCATTTGTGGTCTATTATAAGAAGTTATTGAAAACACATAAACTTAATAAAAATGATCAATTTATCATCCTTCTAGTTTGAGTTAAATTTTCAATTTCAGTCCAATAGATTAATTTTCAATTTCATCATAATTTGAGTTGTTATAGTTTAAGCTCAATTCTAATTTAGTTGGCAAATATTGGATTAAATGTACACAATTAATCAATATAAATATCATATCAAATGCTATTACTAATAATATTTGCATATTATGTAATTTTCAAGAAAGAAACTGAGACAACATCGACATTGACATCGACATCGATATATATTGGGTGGTGGACTAGAGGCTAACAGAGCTTAGTGCAAAAGCGACGACGGCGAAATCCGACGCAGCGGCCACCAGTATAGCCTTCGTGGCGGAAAGCCTCAGCGCAGTTGTGGGCATTTGCGCATGGCCCATGGAACCGATGGCTTTGTGACTGGCATGTTCTCCCCTCGCATGGCCTTGTCATTTCTTCTGTATTTAGACCAACATAAAAATACACGATAAATGATCGAGTCCGTTTGGTTGGTGACCTAAAAACATTAATTTCAACGTAAAAACCTATGATAAATGATTGAGTGTGTTTGGCTCGTGATCTAAAATCATGAATTTAAATTATAGAAATTTAATGGAAAGCATGGAATTCCAAATTTTAAACACTGAAGAATGTAAATCTAAAATTTTCACCTTTTGGAAATTCCACAATTATCTGAAATACTAGAATTAACTCACCAAATAAAAATTCACTAGATTTTATTTAATGGAAAAAGATAATCCATCCGAGTAATTATAAACAAAGGACCAAATATGCAATTTAGTTCCTCCTAATGCTCATAAAGTATAATTAAATGTCTCTCTTCCAATTTAATTCCTATTATTTTTAAAAAAAATTAATTAAACCCAATTCAAATTTTTACTTTCTAAACTTTTTATATATATAATCTTTCCATTTAAAATTTAGAAGGAGACAGCTAAAGGAAAAATCTTGAAATCTTTTAACTTGTATATGTGATATTTTTTTAGAAGAATTTTGCTTGGCTGTCATTTTGGAGATGTACAGATGTCAACATCCAAATGGTGCCACATCGGTCATCGACTATAGGCAAGAAAAATCCTTTTCTAATCTAAGGGACCAAAACAAAACAATTGCTCCCCTCCTTCCTTCTTTGCTCCTCCTTCCTTCTTTGCTCCGTCCTAGACTCTCCACGAATATAATACAAAAATTAAATGATGGGTATTTAATGAATTGACATAAATTTTAAAAGAAAAATATCCAAAATTCCTCAGATTCTTTTTAGTACAACATGTGGGATGGGAGATCGAACTCACAACCAAGTTGTTGGAGGCATATGTCAATTACCGCTAAGGTATGCTCGTTTTGGTAGATTATTTTAAATGATTAAAATACCATATCTAAAACACATTAATCGTTTTGGTCGATAATGGTGTAATTTTCACCAAACTTTAAAATGTGTTACAAATTTTACCCTTTGATAGATTTTCATTTGAAAATTGTTGGAAAAAATAATCTCTATGTGTTAAATCAATTAAAAAAACATAAGTTTTTATATAAAATAATTGATATGATGCGGACAAAAACGTCAATAGTGTTGTTCTAAATGTGTAACTTTTGACAAAATTATTTAACGGTACATTTTTTTACATTAATCAAACTTAATTTGAGAAACTTGAGTTTTATTCCATTAGTGAGTTAATTTTGTGGAATTTTTTAATTAATAGGTGAATTAGCAAAAATTTAATAAAATGATAAAAATTATAACATTTATCTAAGTTTATAGTTATGAATTTAGATCATGAATAGAATTATATGGTCCACGTAGAAACTTAACTAGACATATTTGGTATAATAAAAATAAAAACCTTAAAATTACTTATTTTAAATAAAAAGAATGGAAAAATATATATTTAAAAGAATTAGAAAAAGAAAAGTTATTTAAAAGAACTAGACATATTTTGGTTTAAAAAATATAAACAAAATTAAAACAAAATAGGCGGAAGCTGGGATTCGATCACAAGACACGGAGGTAGGAGTTAAAAGGACATATTTTTTCAAATATTAAAAATTAAAAACAAAATAGTAAGAATAAGTGAATTGGATTATACCATAGTTCTAAATATATGTCAACACGTATACATTTCCATTAACATATCTGTGTTTCCACGAGTTCGACATTGATATGAAGGGTAAATTGACATATCCATTATAGTACAAGAAAATCTACAAAATATGAAAAGTATCAACAAAATGTCACTAATATATACCTAATATTAAATTAACTTAGAAACAGAAAAATGTTTATTTGTTAATTTAAATATTTGTTACAATTTTTTATTTTTCTAACTTTTATAGAAATATGCATCGACATCGACATTTTATCGATATTTTTATCGACATTTCCATGAAATCGAAACCTCGACATTTTCATCGACATCGACATTTAAAACCTTGGATTATACACTATACTAGTTCTAATCCATAACACTCCTTGGTCCCTGCTTGAATCTGCCCCTGTACTTAACCATTTATCTAAAAAACAAAAAATAAAAATTTTAACCTCAAAAAAGATAATAGATATTTTATCCGTCGATCTAAGTATAGAAGATCCATGAAATTAAACTTATGACAAAATACAATTTTTGTCTCTGAGATTTTTTTTTTTTTTTTTTACATATTATCTGTGAGATTAGTATATATTTAGTTCCCGAGCTTTCAAAATATGGACACTTTTACTTCTGAAGTTGTTTTAAATGGTCTATGAAATTAATTGACTGCTAACGAAAAGACCATTAATTATTTACTTTTTGAATTATGATTACATGGTAAAATATATTAATTTTATATTATTAATTTAATTTTTCTATATGACGTGGGAAAATGAAGTGGCGTCTTCTTCCATGGGAAAATTTCTAATCTTCCCCGAGAACTTTCATACTACTTCAACTCAAATTGTGCCATGTGTAAAGGAGTTCTAGTATTATTTAAATAAAAATATTTTTAGTTTGTATGTAGGACTCACAGGCAAAATTGATCAACCAGGATCCCACATTCTCTCTCTTAATTAATTGTACATTCTCTCTCTAATTGTAATCAGAATCTCAACTTCCCTCTCTTAAATTAATTTTACTTTCTAATTAAATATTTTAGATGTGATTATTTATTTTCACTTTTCTAATTTATTTATCTCTTTATTGTTATTTGCATCTTCATTTACTTCTCTCATCTTCTATTTTTATGTCATGAATGTATTTGGAAATTTTATTTGGTCSAATTATAGGTTCTAAACTAGCCATTGATTTGAAACAAACATTCAATTAATCTAATATTCAACAATATTTGTATCGTAAAGACAAAAGAGAAAGTGTATTTATAATCAAATAATCAAAATTCACAAAAAATGATGAATTAAAAAAAAATGTAAAGAATTAAAAATAACATACTTAAAGATTTACTTTTTCGTGTGATGATGAATACATCCAAATATTTTTATGGATTCAATAAAAAATGAAAAGATATATAAAAATGATGAGAATGTAATAGAAAAAATAATAATAAATAACAAGAAAATAAAAAATAAATAGAAAAGTCATACATATTTTAAATGGTGAAGTATCGTTAAGAAAAAGAAACAAGAAATTTAGTTTGAATAGAGAAAAATTCAAAAAAATAAAAATAGAAGATGAGAGAAGTAAGTGAATATGTAAATAACAATAAAGAGATAAATGAATTAGAAAAGTGAAAATAATAATCACATCTAAAATATTTAATTAGAGAGAGGATGTACATATTTAATTAGAGAGAGGATGTACAGTTAATTTAAGCTGAGACAGATATTTAATTAGAGAGAGAATGTAGAATTAATTTAAGCTGAGATAGAATGTGGGATCATGGTTGACCAATTTTGCCCGTGAGTCCCACATAAAAACTAAAAATATTTTTATTTAAATAATAATAATAAAACTCCTTTACACATGGTAGAATTTGTGTTGGGACTATAAATTTTCCCTTCTTCCATCTCACTCTCCCTCCTGCCCTCTCCAGGAGTCTAGTACACGAAATGGTTCAATCAATCAATCAAGGATAATGACTACTTAATTTTAATTAGTTTTAGAGAACATTTAAAATCATTTTTAAAACCTCCRCCGATTAAATAGTCTATCTAAAAATTTAAAAGACTAAATAGACGCTCAACTCGAATTTCTAGTTTAATTTATTAAAAGGAAGTTGACGAAATTTATAATTTTATAATTTAACCTTCCTCCGACATAAGGGTGAGAAGTAGGGAATGTGGGAATTAAAAGGGGGTGATACTATATTCTCATCCTCAACGGTGAGAAATATGATATATTTTATATAGATTTTCATAAAAAAGTTGCATCGATATTTGCATTGACATTGACATTCAAGACAGCTAGCTAACAGGCTTTAGTGCAGAAACAGCGACGGCGAAATCCTTCGCAGTGGCCACCGGTATAGGCTTCGTTTCGACAAGTCTCTGCACAGTTGTGGTCATTAATGCATGGTCCATGGAACCGATGGCTCTTCGACTGGCATGTCCTCCCCTCACATGGCCTCGCCATCTCCCCTGCATTTTAACCAACACAACACAATAAATAAAAGAATAATATTTATACTTAAATACTGACGATCAGCACTATTTCTAAATTTTTTAATAAAAATATGAGAGAGAAATCTCTAAAAAGATGAATGTAGAAAGAAAAATAAAATAATATTTATATTGAATTCATTTAATTCAGTCAATCTGAGAAATAAGGAACTAAAAAAAATCTTAAATAATTCAGTCACAAAGTAATTACAAGCAAAGACGAAAGATCATACAATTTAGTCCTTCCTAATTTCAACCTAATTAAATGTTTTTTTCTTTTCAAAAAATTAATTTAGTTCTTTAGTTTATGATCACGGATATAATACTAAAATTAAATTATGATAAACTTACCAGAAAAGTCGAAAATTTTACCAACTTTTAAAAATTTGAAAGAGAAATTTAAAACTTCTTGGCAATATATAATATTAGAAGAAACACTCAAATATGATAGGCTAGAAACACATTTATCTAAAACAAAAAATGCAGAAAAAAAAAATTACAAAAAGAAAAAAGAGAGATTAGAGGGCTACTCATGGCAAGGAGAAGGAGGAGCATCAAGAACACAGCATGGGATGAAGATGAAGAATAAGAGTTTCTCATTTTATTTCTTTTGTAATATAAATAATAACATATATTATATGATGGAATTAAGATTTTGGGCATTGGAATATTTATATTATATGGTTTAGGAGAGAGAGAAAAATAATGAAGTAGGTGGAGGAATGCATGGGGTACCACTTTGCAAAATTGCAGTGTTCTTGAGGACCGAGCTGCAAGCTTCCAATCTACCTTCACTCGGTGTGCTCTAACCTCTCCCAAATACTATTTGTTGATGCAGGATTTTAAACGAGGGTGACACGTCCAGCCTTTCAAGTTGTTTCTATGTGCACCGTGTGATATGCTAGACCTCGTGTACTTTGAAGGTTAAGTTAGAATATAGTCTGAGCTTAGTTAGGGCGGTGCACATTAAGATTTCATATCTTTGTGACGAGAGGACTCCGCCTTTCATAGGGGAGTTTTGAAAAGTGTTGTCTTGTCATTTCAATATGGGTGAAAGATCGAACTCACAACCTCTTGGTTTGAGATATATGCCAATTACCGCTAAGCTATGCTCACTTTGGCTGATTTCCAAGCAATCTAATTTCACCTCTATGTTTTTCTTTTCTTTTCATATAAGTTTATCATCAGCCAATTTTAGAATTCAACCGTATGAAAAATATGATTAAAAAATGTAAAATCGGGGCAAAAACATAAATTTAGCCCATACAAAATATTCAAATAAGAAATTAAAAAAAAATAGGACAAATCAAAATTTGAAATGAATTTTGGTTGATGATGATGTGCAAACGAGGTTGGAGTGATACGTATTCTTTTTCGACCAAAGTAGGGCAAAATTGGAATTTGTTAAGTTTAAATTTAAAATCCTCACAAATCCGACCTGTTTGAAACGAAAAATATTTGGACSAAAAACTGAATTTCGAATCATTTAGGATTTCAAATTCTTTTTTCTATAGTTATCCAAACACATGAAATGATTTCAAAATCCATTCAAATTTTGAAATCTCTCCAAATCGGATGTCTCAAACAGGGTTACATTATTTAGATTGTTGCAAAGAAAAAATGTTGCTTAAATTGTAAGTTTATCCCTAACAAAACCATTTTTTGCATAACGATCCTTTTGGTCTATTCGATTGGCAATCGGAATTTTTTTTTTTTAATTCATTGAATCTGAATATTTATTTTGCAGATTTGATTTTTAAAACTGTTTTGGGACCAAATTCTGAAAACAACATTTTTTTATCTTTTCAGTGTTTTCAAATTTTGAATTTGAAACTTTAAAATGCATAATTGTATTAAAAAAGATCAACCCTTTSATAAATATATTACTAAACTCGTTTCATTTGCCTTAAAATTAAGACGTGTAAATTATAACATATTATAAATTATACAATATTGTTGAATAATAATTATACAAAATTTATGACAAAAATATTAATAAATTAATTAATATTATTTCAGATTGAACTAAATTTATACATATTATAAATTATATAATATTGTTGAATAATAATTATACAAAATTTATGACAAAAATATTAATAAATTAATTAATCTAAATTTATACATATTATAATTATATAATATTGTTGAATAATAATTATACAAAATTTATGACAAAAATATTAATAAATTAATTAATATTATTTTAGATTGAACTAAATATTTAATTGACAACTACAACTATTTTATAAATGTATTATTAAAAACACATTGAATAATTTTTTAAATTGAAATTGAATTTCTAAATCTGCTGCCAAATACAAATCTAATAATCTAATAACACTGAAAACAAAAAATATAACTTTCTTTTTCATTCAAAGCCTTGTTTTCAAATTATATACTTATCTTTTCGATGTTGCTAGTAGTGATCTTGAAAAAAGAGATTTAAGTGAAATTGATTTTTTTCAAAATTATCATCTAAATACAGTTTTCAAATACAGTTTTCAAATAGGGTACAATAAGTTCCTTCAGCTTCAAGCTGAACACTTTATCTTAAAAATCAATTTAAAGTGATTTTAAATTTATCTAAAATCAATTTTTTTTTAATTTGTCAAACACGATACATTGATTTTGACAATGACAAAAGTGTAATCACTTCTAAATTAGCAATCTTTCCAAAAAGCAACCGACTCTTTCCAGGTCTAGTGCCGAAGCAGAGATTCAAAAAGTGCTGGTAGAAAAAGTATTTTTTTATAAAAAAAAAAAAGGCATTTTTCAAATCCCAAACGCACTAGAAATGTAACACTTCTTAAACTAACTTTGAAGGTAGAAAACGCTTATTTCTCACACTTCAAATGTGTTGTGGAATATAACAATCTAAATAGTTGATGTAGATTCATGTAAACAATATCAAATTTCTAATATTTGTCTCATTTTTGCATGTAACAAAACAAAACCATCATTTTTTTTTCTAATAACCTAGAATCGATAGCTCCTATAACCAAGGCACATGCACCCTCCCTAGGACATGGATTGATGAGACATCACAAATTCTTGTTATCAAGCACACCCAAAAATTTGGTTTCAAGACTTCATGGTAGGTGATACCACAAAGCTCCATGCCCTTTCCAATGAGGTCGTCCCTTGGTTATATGACTCAACAGTCAACATCCAATCATCAATTCGAGCATAACTAAATGGATAAGACACTTGTCATCTTCCTCAGAGTTAGAAGGTTTGATCACCGACCCTAGTTGCTTTTCAATTTTAGCATCTAATTCTACAAAGAAAATCGAGTAATTCGTCTCCTCCGCGCCCACCAGCCCCTCTATGTTACTCGTACTCTAGATGGCTTATGGCAGAAAGAGAGAGAGTAGAATATGTTTGTGTTGTTGTAATTTGTTAGCTGTTTGCTGCTACAAATAAAGAATGCCTAGAAGAAGAAAAAAAAATCATACGGTTGAGCTTTTAATGGAATGAGCTGAAGAAAAAAAAATTGCTCCATCCCTTTTCTTCACACTACCCCCCGCCCCCCTCCCTCCACTCTCAGTTACCTATACGATATCTCATCAGATAATTATCCCAACCATGTCAAGTTGAGGAAAACAAAAACAAAAAAACAAAAAAARAGAGAATTTTTCATTTCTCACCTAACAAATGCGCCATCCATCCCAAAATGAGGTCTCCTGTACTTTGAAACTAGATGGGGCTRTGTCGCGTTAGAGCGGATTAATCCTCCTTCCACCTGTTGACATATCTGAGATAGGCAGTAGCAGGATTTTCCCTAGGAGGAGCACGGACGCGAGTTGATCTTCGCAGCACGGCCTCCTCCACTGCAATTTGGTTAGTCAAGTCCTTCGATCTCTTGTTGAGTTCAAGGCTGTTGATACAAAAAGATAATACATTCAACTCCATTAAATGTAAGCATGTAACAAGCCTTGAAGAAATATGGAACTTCAAATCAACAACAGCAAGGTATACAAGGATGCGTAGTATGTCCTAAATAAGACGGATCAAGAAAGTGACAAACATCATACAGTTCATATATGGATAGGGCCATTTTTTCATCAAATTCATTATGATTTCGCTCGGACTAAAAAGTGTACACATTCTCTGTAGTCTGTCTACACATTAAACTTATTGGTATGCAAATGGATGAGTTCACATACAACATAAACTTAAATTTGAAAAAATATGTCAGGTCAGAAACTTATTAGATACAAAATTGAAAGTTCAACAACTTATTAAACACTTTTAAAATCTAGAGACATATTAGACAAAAAATTGAAAGTTTATGGGCACATTAGATCCTTTTTAAAATTCATGGACCTATTAGACAATTCTAAAATCCTGAAAGTTAAGGAACTGAACGTTCTGAATCTGCACTCTGCAGGCTGCCTCTGTTCCAGGAAATAGCATAATAGTAAGGGTAGGGAACTGGCTTCTCAAATGAACAACCTGATTTCATGAGGGGCAAATCTATTAAATCTCAGGCTATTAATGGCTAGCTTACCAAATTCTGCTATAAGATCTTTCGAGCTGCTTGCTGAGTGCTCTCTCTCTCTCCCCCTTGCAATTCAGTGAGCCCATAAATGCATCAAGCTGTGCAGCAAAAAGTTAAGTAGTCAAGTGGGGAAGAGAACATCAAATGAAGAGGTCATCCGTCAGCTCCTAGTATTAGAACAATTAGGTACAATACAAAGCACTGATACCTCTTCCACGCTACTGTAATATCCCCACTCCTCGGAGTCTGAGCTCTCTACAAAAATCCTTCCATCACGACGGAACCACCAATATCTGTTGTGATCTCTGTCTTTCCCCAAGGGATTGGTTTTTATTGATCGTTTCTCCATTTCCCGCTCATAATATTCTCTCTGTTTCACGATAATAACATGTGCTTAGGGAAGAAGCTATGAATGGCTTGAACTTAAATGCACTCTCACATTATCAAAAACAAAAATTCTAATGAGAAAAGCAGGAACATTAATGAGCACACCCTCTGTTCTTTGGTATTCTTTTCATTAACTTCAATCGTATCATCCTTTGCTTCCTTCCGTGATGAATTTGGAGAATTAGCTGTTACATCACTATTCCGCTGCTTCTTCGCCATTTTCTTCAAATAAGCAATTGGTTGATCATCCTCACTGAAAAAAATGGTAAAATAAAATAAGAAATAGAAAGGTCAAGTACTTGAATATCATTGCTTATAGCTACAGAAGATTCTATCAATTTCATTTCCCTATTTTAACGGTAAACGAAGAAGAAAGCCATACCTTTTTACAGGGGAAAGACCATTTTGAGATGATATGACCACCCCATTCCTATTTTTTGATGAATCTCTATTCTGTTTACCATGATCAACTTTGGCTATTTTGCTCTTTTCTTTGTCSATAAGATGCCCATTTACAAGTCCATTTGACAGAGTCTCAGATTTCAAGCGCTCTTTCTCTTCTCTTTTCTTTCTGCCTTCTTCCAAAGCTTCCCCTCTCCTGGTAGCTCCAAGTGCCTGCCTCTGTTCAATAATCTCATCTAACTTTTCCTTGAATATATTTGATTCCAGGGACTGATTAACCAACTCACAAAATATCCCCAGTTTGACATGAGTATCCAAAAGGCCATAGTGACCTCGCTTGATAGTTGCTGTGCTGGCAGATAATTCTGGATTCCCAATCATTTCTAGGAAGTCACAGAGGTACTCTGTCCAGTTAACTAATGTTATCTGGTATTTTTTAAGAAAATTGCAAAACAATGTTAGTTTCTTTTTTCCTTTTTGTTTT